AAGAGTTATTCATTAGCTTGAATGTGTGGGGGTGTTATTTCCTCATCCATTAAGTTATTACTGTTAGGTTTTAAGTTGCAAGGCAGCAACTCCAGACTGGAAGAAAGCCAGTCACAAATATATCAGTTTAATTTAAGAAAGCCGCACTGAAATAGCTGATGCATTAAGTGCACGGGGAAATCCATTAAGAGGGATCAAAAACAACATATCACGTACATATAGTAATCACCACTATTCAAAATATTAACAGGATAAATTAAAGAGGTCGACCTTCTTATTAATAAAAACACCCTGACCTTTAGAAAGAGCAGCACCATTTTTACAGCCCAATCATAAACATCTTCATGTGAAATTAGCCTCACAAGCCAGTGGGAATTACTTCCCAGTAAAATGTGCTTAGTCGACTATACAAAGAAGATATAATAATGTTGTTGGAGGCTTTCATGGCCAGAATCACAGGGTTGCTGTGAGTTTTTTGAGCTGTATGGTCATGTTCCAGAAGCATTCTCTCCTGACATTTCACTCACATCTATGGCAGGCATCCCCAGAGGTTGTGAGGTCCAATGTATTGTCAATGGCTTCCATGGTTGGAATCACTGGGTTGTTGTAGGTTTTTCGGGCTATATGGCCATGTTCTAGAAGCATTCTCTCCTGACATTTTGCCTGCATCTATGGCAAGCATACCTCACAACCTCTGAGGGTGCCTGCCATAGATGCAGGTGAAATGTCAGGAGAGAATGCTTCTAGAACAGAGGTTCTCATCCTGGGGTCCCCAGATGTTTTTGGCCTTCATCTCCCAGAAATCTTAACAGCTGATAAACTGGCTGGGATTTCTGGGAGTTGTAGGCCAAAAACATCTGGGGACCCCAGGTTGAGAACCACTGTCTAGAACATGGCCATATAGCCCGACAAACCTACAACAACTTTTTGTGAGGTCTGTTGGAAACCAGGCAAGTGGGGCCCATTCACACTTGCCTCAGGCAAACAGTGGTTCTTTCTCCCACCCTGGACATTCCACAGATATATGGATCCCTACTTGTCTGGTTTCCAATGGACCTCACAACCTCTGGGGATGCCTGCCATAGATGTGGGTGAAATTTCAGGAGAGAATGCTTCTGGAACATGGTCATACAGCCCAGAAAATTCACAGCAACCCAAGGTATAATAGTGTTGCTGAAGGCTTTCATGGCTGGAATCACTAAGTTGCTCTGAGTTTTCCAGATTGTATGGTCATGCTCCAGATGTATGTTCTCCTGACATTTTGCCCACATCTATGGCAGGCATCCTCAGAGGTTGTGAGTTTTACAGTAAGTTGTAACAGGATCAAGTATGTGTGTGTGTGTTAAAGAAAACCTTATACTGTTGATTATTATGTGCAGCTGCTAATGTAGGTCAACTTGTACGTTTGGACCACATCTGATGGGGTATAACTGTATGAGTTTTAGAATACAGTTCAGCCTTTGCTCAGGCATTTTGCTCAACCATTTCTACTGCTCTCTCATTTGGATGAAGATGAAGAAGATTTATTTTGTATTGCTTACAAAGACTATGTAAGTTTGTTGCACTGTTTATAACATTGCAAGTTTATGTTTTAACTCTGCTGATAAGAGTAAAGTTTTTTTTCTCTTCTTTTTCCTCTTGCCTGGATGCAACATTATTGTGTCTTCTGCACTGGACCTGACTGAAACATGCTATTTGCAACAGTGAGATCTGTTAGAAACTAGGCAAGTTAGGTTTATATATCTGTGTGTGGGAGAAAGAACTCTTGTCTGCTTGAGGCAAGTGTGAATGTTGCAATTGACCACCTTGATTAGCACTTAAAGTTTTGCAGCATCCAAACACAAGCCAAGGAACGTAAAAGGCACTGCAGACTAATCCAACCAGATAAGTCAGCAAAAGCACTGCACATGATAAACCAACCTGGGCACAGCATATTATTTGAGAACACAGATGCTGGACCACTAATAACCAGTCTAAATAGAGAAGCCATTGAAATCCACAAGCATGTCGATAATGTCAACAGAAACGAGGAAACCATGAAAATGAACAAAATCTGGCTACCTGTATTTAAAAACTCCAAAATCAGGACAGTAAATAAATAACAACACTAAAAAAACAACAGGGGAAATCAAATCAGGGCCAGCTAACACCTCCCAACAAAGGATTCTCCCAGGCAGGAAGCAGCCAGGTTTTGAAGCTGCAAAGCCATCCAATGCTAATCAAGGTGGTCTGTTGCAACATTCACACTTGCCTCAAACAGACAAGAGTTCTGTCTCCCACCCTGGACATTCCACAGGTATATAAACCTCACTTGCCTAGTTTCCAACAGACCTCACTACCTCTGAGAATGCCTGCCATAGATGTGGACGAAATGTCAGGAGAGAATGCTTCTGGAACATGGCCATACAGCCTGGAAAAATCACAGCAACCCAAGATATAATAGACTTTTTGTTCATAATATTTAACTGCATCTTCAAAGAAGCAACCATGACTGTGTTCAATGGGGTTCAATGTGTTCAATGTTCAATTCCTAGAGAGTATATTTATATTTGGACACATGCAACTCTCACTAACTGCAGCGGAATGGAACCTACTGGCAAGGAAGCTTGCTTTAGGATCAATCTATATAAATAAAAATGTAATATTAGTTCATGCCACCATCAGAACTCAAAAACCACTGGAGGAATTGACACCAAATTTGGACACAAGACACCCAACAGTCCAATTTATGTCCTCCACTCAAAAAAAATTGATTTTGTCATTTGGGAATTGTCATTGCTGGGATTTATAGTTTACCTACAATCAAAGAGCATTCTGAACTCCACCAAAGATGGAATTGGGCCAAACTTAGCACACAGGGCTCCCATGACCAACAGAAAAAACTGGAAAGGTTTGGTGGACATTGACCTTGAGTTTGGGAATTATAGTTCACCCACATCCAGAGAGCACTGTGGACTCAAACAATGATGGATCTGGACCAAACTTGGCACGACTATTCCATATGCCCAAATATGAACACGGATGGAATTTAAGGGAAATAGACCTTGACATTTGGGAGTTGTAGTTGCTGGGTTTTATAGTTCACCTACAATCAAAGAGCATTCTGAACTCCACCAATGATGGAATTGAACCAAATTGAACCAAACATGGCATACAGGACTTCCATGACCAACAGAAAATACTTAAGGCCATCCAGTCCAACTCTCTTCACCAGGGCAAGAAAATATAATCAGAGCCCTCCTGACAAAGAGCCATCCAGTCATAAATATAGATAGATAGATATGATTCTCTCTCACACACACAGATATAGTATCATAGATTTGAAAGAGACCCTTAAAGAAGGACAGTGATATGTTGCATATTCCAGAGTAGGCAAACCAGACACTCTCCACATCAACACTGACAAAGAAACAACAAGAAATACTGTTTACTCACAAGCAGAAAGAAATTGCATATATTAGAAACCAACACTTTCTCATTACTTTATTTTCCCGATTACCAGACTGGGCCACAGCAACGCGTGGCAGGACACAGCTAGTATGCCTATAATACAGATATTAAAATGCTGGGTTTCTCAATACTCTGAGATTTCTAAAATATGAACTATTGGGCTTACCACACAAAATCATACCTTTTTGGATTAATGTTCAAAGTGCTTTTATATATTGATCTCTTGAAACATTACCTTTGCTTTTAAGAACTTTTTATTTATTTATTTATTTATTTATTTATATTTATTTACAGTTCTTATATTCCGCCCTTCTCACCCCGCAGGGGACTCAGGGCGGATTACAGTAAACACATATATGGCAAACATTCAATGCCAGTTTGACAAACAACATTTAACAGACAAAGGCTATTTAACTTTTTTTCTGGCCGCCAGGGGAGCTGCTGCTTTTCATCGTCCATCAACGACACCGATGAAGTTCTTCCGCATTCCACATTCCCCGGAGTCTTCTTTCTTTATGGCCTCATAAATTAGTTAAATTTAGCCTCCCACACAAGGTGGTACCTTATTTTCCTACTTGACAGATGCAACTGTCTTTCGGGTTGCAAAGGTCAACAACGGGCTACACAATGGCTGGACACCCACTCCAGCCCGGGCTGGCTTCGAACTCATGACCTTTTGGTCAGAGTGATCTTAATGCAGCTGACACTCAGCCAGCTGCGCCACAATCCCGGCCGTGTGCAGTTTGGTGTTTTTCAGCAAGGTGAATCTACTCTGAGGTGCGACACTACCCACATGTTTTCATACTGCTAGGTTGGCAGAAGCTGGGGCTAACAGCGGGAGCTCACCTTGGTCTCCGGATTTGAAATGCCAACCTTTTGATCAGCAAGTTCAGCAGGTCAGCGGTTTAACCTGCTGCACCACCAGGGAGCCCCTAAAGTGGAACTAACATATGGCTAAACTTGTACCGGGTATTTATGTTGTACTAGGTATATCAGCGATACATTAAAGTACATATAAGATGTTCAATGTATTGTCGAAGGCTTTCATGGCTGGAATCACTAGGTTCTTGTGGGTTTTTTCGGGCTATAGGGTCATGTTCTAGAGGCATTTCTCCTGACGTTTCGCCTGCATCTATGGCAAGCATCCTCAGAGGTAGTGAGATCTCACTACCTCTGAGGATGCTTGCCACAGATGCAGGCGAAACATCAGGAGAAATGCCTCTAGAACATGGCCCTATAGCCCGAAAAAAACCCACAAGAACCTACATATAAGATGAATGATAAAAGAAGTCAAAACATTGGGTTGTTGTAGGTTTTTTCGGGCAAAACGTCAGGAGAGAATGCTTCTCGACCATGGCCATATAGCCCGAAAAAACCTACAACAACCCCGTGATTCCGGCCATGAAAGCCTTCGACAATACAGTCAAAACATTGTTTTAGTTAAATATCAATAATCCTACTATCCCTGTTATATCATTATCGAAACTATCAAAATGTCCATACAAATCTGAAGCTGTGGAAAATCTTAAAACAGAGTTCTGTTGCCTTACCGCTGTTGTCTGTCAAGTCCAGCAATTCCGAGTGCAGAGAGGGAAGGAGGTGCTTTGGGGTCGCACCTCCTGCTTGACCCACACATGCCACAGGTGCAGCCTAGAGGCAAACAATACGTACTTGGATGTAAGAAATACAATGAAAAATGGAGAACAAAAGAGAAAAGAGCTGGGGAAAGAATACTAGTGGAGTTTTGGAACTATAACACTATTTTACAAGATTTTTTTTTTAAAAACCCTTCTGTTCCCAGTTTGAAAATATTATTTCCTGTTTAATTGTGCAGTACTTACTTTGAAAGTAGTTGTTATACTCCAGAAACTTCATTTTTGTGGCTGCCACCAACTATGTTGAACTGGTTGAGACTCAGTGAAAGATTCATTGAAACACAGAAGCAGTATGTGTTGCAGGATGTCCCACAACAACAAAGTTTTTTTTTTTTGCAGTTGAATAAGCTTTTCCCATGTTTTTATGATAGAACCAATTAAGAAATGACATTTATAACCCAGGAACAGAAATGGTAAGGATGCACTTCATGTAAACAAAGCTGGACTAAGGAAATGCTATCTTTAACAACAAAGATAAAGAGATATCTATGCAGACAATTGGAGGCAGAAGAGGGAGAGACAGGTAATGTTTTATACGCTGGATAGTTTGAGGTAGTTTGAAAACACCCTGGACATTTCAGATATAGGAGCCCCCGGAAGTGCAATGGGTTAAACCCTTGTGCCAGCAGGACTGAAGATCGACAGGTTGCAGGTTCGAATCTGGGGAGAGTGTGGATGAGCTCCCTCTGTCAGCTCCAGCTCCCCATGCAGGGACATGAGAAAAACCTCCCACAAGGATGATAAAACATCAAAACATCCGGGTGTCCCCTGGGCAACATCCTTGCAGATGACCAATTCTCTCACACCAGAAACAACTTGCAAGTTTCTCAAGTCGCTCCTGACACAAAAAAAATCACACACACACACGCACACACAAACATACAGACACACAAACATACATACACACAAACATACATACACACATACACACACTCCATTGGCCTCATTTCCAACAGACCTCTGAAGATGCTAGCCACAGATGCAGGCGAAATGTCAGGAAATAATGCTACTGGAACATGTCCATACAGCCCAAAAACCTCACAGCAACCCACTAACTAACTGCCATACTTTGAAAATATGAGCTTCCATGACATTCTGTGCTTTGCAATTTGGAAAAGCCTCGATAAAAGTTCGCATGATTTCTGCAGCATTTGAACTCGGTGGCTGGTAATAATAATAATAATAATAATAATAATAATAATAATAATAATACACTTTATTTATATTCTATCTAAGGATCCTCTGAAGCTGCCAGGTATGGATGTAGGTGAAATGTCAGGAGAGAATGCTACATACAGCCTGAAAAATTAACAGCAACACATTAACTAACCGCCATTCTTTGAAAACATGAACTTTCATGACATTGTGTGCTTTGCAATTTGGAAAAGCCTTAAGAAGAGTTCTTCTGAAATTGGCAACATTTGAACTCTGTGACTAGCAACTATTTAAGGATCCTCTGAAGCTGCCAGCAAAACGACAGGCGAGAATGCTGCCGGAACATGCAAATGAAACATCAGGAGAGAATGCTACTGGAACATACAGGTGAAACATTAGAAGAGAATGCCACTGGTACATACAGGTAAAACATCAGGAGGGAATGCTACATGCAGATGAAACATCAGAAGAGAATGTTTCCATGACATTCTGTGCTTTGCAATTTGGAGTCTTCTTGGTCTCTGCAGCCTTTGAATTCTGTGGCTGGCAACTATTTAAGGATCCTCTGAAGCTGCCAGGCACAGATGCAGGCGAAACGTCAGGGGAGAATGCTCCTGGAACATGTGGGTGAAATGACAGGAGGGAATGCTACTGGGACATGGCCATACAGCCCAAAAAACTCTTGATATCAGCAGCATTTGAACTCTGTGGCTAGAAACTATCTAAGGATCCTCTGAAGTTCCCAGCCACAGATGCAGGTGAAACATCAGGAGAGAATGCTACCGAAACATGGCCATACAGCCCAGAAAACTCACAGCAACACACTAACTATAACTGCCATACTTTTGAAACATGAACTCCCATGACATTCTGTGCTTTGCAATTTGGGAAAGCCTTAAGAAGAGTTCCCTGAAGCTGCCAGGCACAGATGCAGGCAAAACGTCAGGAGAAAATACTGCTAGATACATATACAGCCTGGAAAGCAGACAACACTCCAGCTGTATGGCAGTATTTCCACATCCCACCTGGTTCCTAGGACTTCACAGGGACTCTGAGGCTATTGCCAGTACCCACATGGTGCCCAGGACTTCCTAGAGTGGAAAAGTGGCACTCAAGGTGGGCTGGAAGTCGACGGAGGTCTCCTGAGCTTACCTTCAGCAGAAGCAGCAGCCAGAGTCCGGCGAAGCCCTTGGGAGGCATCCTCCCGCAAAGCAGCGGCGGCGTTGGGAGAGAAAGCCTAAAGCCCAGCCATGGCAGGGATCGAGTGACTCCCCCTGGCTCGGCTGCGGCGAGAAGGACGGACGCCCAGCGGCTAAAGGCAGCCTCGCCGGGGGGCCAGGAGAGCGCTGGGAGGGCAGAGCCAGGTGTCCCCCTCCATGCCAGGGAGCCTCTCCGGAGCTTCTGCGAAGGCTTGCGTTTGCGGGGAGGGAGGGAGGGCAGGCAGCGGGCTCCCCTTGATTGACAGCCCTGCCCCGCCCGGCACCTGCAGCCGTCCCCTCCGCCCCAGGAAAGGTGGGTGGGACCCCTCTCTCGATCCCCTCGCCGGGCTCTTTGTCCCCAGGAGCCCCAGGGCCAGCGGAGGGTCACAAGACCACAAAGGGAAGGAGGGACTCAGCCCCAAGGAGGGGGAAGCACCGCCTGGATGGACAATGCCTCCCAGAGGGGAAGGCAGGCAGGCAGGCAGTCCTCTGGAGCTGGAAGGCTCTGGAATTGAATAACCCATTGATCACTGTGCTAAATCACAGGAGGCTGGTTTAAAACAATTGTTTTCCATGGGATCCTAGGGTTCTGCATCAAAGCCCATAGGATACAAGAGGCAGTGCTCCAAGTTAAAGCAATTTCTTTCCATGGGATCCTATGGTCCTGATTCAAAGCACATAGGACACAAGAGACAGTGCGCCAGGTTAAAACCATTGCTTTCCATGGGTCTTGCATCAAAGCCCATAGGGTGCAAGAGACAGTGCTCCAGGTTAAAACCATTGCTTTCCATGGGATCCTATGGTCCTGCATCAAAGCCCATAGTGTGCAAGAGACGATGCCCCAGGTTACAACCATTGCTTCCAATGGGTCTTGCAACAAAGTCCATAGGATACAAGAGACAATGCTCCAGGTTACAACCATTGCTTTCCATCAATCTTGCATCAAAGCCCATAGGATACAAGAGACAGTTCTCCAAGTTAAAGCAATTTCTTTCCATGGGATCCTAGGGCTCTGCATCAAAGCCCATAGGGTGCAAGAGACAGTGCTCCAGGTTAAAACCATTGCTTTCCATGGGTCTTGCGTCAAAGCCCATAGGATACAAGAGCCAGTCCTCCAAGTTAAAGCAATTTCTTTCTATGGGATCTTATAGTCCTGTATCAAAGCCCATAGGGTGCAAGAGACAGTGCTCCAGGTTAAAACCATTGGTTTCCATGGGTCTTGCATCAAAGCCCATAGGATACAAGAGGAAATGCTCCAGGTTAAAACCATTGCTTTCCATGGGTCTTGCATCACAGCCCATAGGATACAAGAGGCAGTGCTCCAGGTTAAAACAATTGCTTTCCATGGGATCCTATGGTCCTGCATCCAAAGCCCATAGGATACAAGAGACAGTTCTCCAAGTTAAAACAATTTCTTTCCATGGGTTCCTATGGTCCTGCATCAAAGCCCATAAGATACAAGAGACACTTCTCCAAGTTAAAGAAATTTCTTTCCATGGGATCCTGCATCAAAGCCCAAAGGATACAAGAGACAGTTCTCCAGGTTAAAGCAATTTCTTTCCATGGGATGCTGCACAAAAGCCCATAGGATACAAGAGACAGTTCTCCAAGTTAAAGCAATTTCTTTCCATGGGATCCTATGGTCCTGCATCAAGGCCCATAGGGTGCAAGAGACAGTGCTCCAGGTTAAAACCATTGCTTTCGATGGGTATTGCATCAAAGCCCATAGGATACAAGAGACAGTTCTCCAAGTTAAACAGTTTCTTTCCATGGGATCCTATGGTCCTGCATCAAAGCCAATAGGCGACAAGAGGCAGTGCTCCAGCTTAAAACAATTGCCTCCCATGGGTTTTGCATCAAAGCCCATAGGATACAAGGGGCAGTGCTCCAGCTTAAAACAATTTCTTTCCATGGGATCCTACATCAAAGCCCATAGGATACAAGAGTCCGTTCTCCAAGGTAAAGCAATTTATTTCCATGGGATGCTATTGTCCTGCATCAAAGCCCATAGGGTGCAAGAGACAGTGCTCCAGGTTAAAACCATTGCTTTCCATGGGATCCTATGGTCCTGCATCAAAGCCAATAGGATACAAGAGACAGTGCTCCAGGTTAAAACCATTGCTTTCCATGGGTGTTACATCAAAGCCCATAGGATACAAGAGACAGTGCTCCAGGTTAAAACCATTGCTTTCCATGGGATCCTATGGTCCTGCATCAAAGCCAATAGGATACAAGAGACAGTGCTCCAGGTTAAAACAATTGCTTTCCATGGGATCCTATGGTCCTGCCTCAATGCCCATAGGGTGCAAGAGACAGTGCTCCAGCTTAACCCATTGCTTTCCATGGGCCTTGCATCAAAGCCCATAGGGTGCAAGAGACAGTGCTCCAGGTTAAACCCATTGCTTTCCATGGGTCTTGCATCAAAGCCCATAGGGTGCAAGAGACAGTGCTCTAGGTTAAAACCATTGCTTTCCATGGGATCCTAGGGTTCTGCATCAAAGCCCACAGGGTGCAAGACAGTGCTCCTCCAGGATAAAATTATTGCTGATGATTGGGCACTGAAACAAGATAGGAAACTTTTTATGATTCCCATCCCATCTGTTTTTCAGTTATAACTATGGGAGTATTTTTTCATGACAGGAGGGACTTGAGAAACTGCAAGTCACTTCTGGTGTGAGAGAATTGGTCATCTACACCAGGACTGTGGCGCAGCTGGCTAGGAGTCAGTTGCATTAAGATCACGACTCACCGAAAGGTCATGAGTTTGAAGCTAGCCTGGTTTGGAGTTTAGCTACACAATGGCTTGCTGTCAGCCTTTGCAGCCTGAAATACAGTTGCATCTGTCAAGTAAGAAATTTAGGTACTGCTTATGCGGGGAGGCTAATTTAACTAATTTACCACGCCATAAAATCTCCAGAAAGCAAGTAAAAAAGAATGAGGAAGTACTTCATCGGTGTCGCAAATGGACGGGGAAGCAACAGCTCCCCTGGTGGCCAGAATACCCTCATGAAAGCTGGAAATTTAAATACTCTCTGTGTGATCTACTCACATTGGCAGAAGCTGGGGCTAACAGTGGGAGCTCATGTCACTCCCTGGATTCGAACCTGCAACCTTTCGGTCTGCAAGTTCAGCATCTCAGCGCTTCAACCCACTGCGCCATGGGGGCTCCCATCACATGGTTATGTAATAGTTTCGTTCTGCAGCAGTCCGGAAATTACAAGCACGGAAAGGTCTTGCAAGAACACCATATTGTATGGCTGTGCAGTTGTGGCAAAATAGGAAGGACAAAAACACAGTGCCCAAACGGAGAGAACATGGGTAGGGCTGTACAAAAAGCTGATAATGGGAATCCACCTCCTCATGATGCCAGCATAGCACAATTGCAGTGAAGTGTGAAAGTGATTGTTCTAATAAAGGTATGTTTCCATTTGCATAAACAATGCAATTATCACGAGACTGGAGGCTGGTGTGATAAAATCTTTAGTGTTTTAGGCCAGAAGGGAGTGAATGGCAGCCCTCCAGATGGTTTTTGGACTTCAGCACCCATTATTCCTACTGCTTGGTGATATGATGTATTTATTTATTTATTTCCTATATTTTTACCTCCCCCCCCCCCCCGGGGGGATGACTCAGGGTGGCCTCACAACAAGCACCATACGGTGCCATCATAACCATAAAATATTTCAATAAATACATTAAAACATTAAAACAGTTAATTAAAACTGAATATCTAAGCAAAACGAATCTTCCAAAACTAACGGATGAACAAAGGGGACTAGTTAACGGTCCAATAACAATGGCAGAAATCGATACAGCTATTCAAAAACTAAAAAACAACAAAGCCCCAGGTCCAGATGGCTATACCGCCATATTTTACAAAACTTATAAGAATGAACTTAGCCCCCTCTTACAACATATTCTAAACAATGCATTAAAAAATGGAACAATCCCAAAATTATGGGAGGAAGCCAATATAACACTCATACATAAAGAAGGCACCGACCCAACCGAGATCAGGAACTATAGACCCATATCCCTCCTAAATAATGATTACAAAATTTTCACAAGCATCATGGCCGAAAGACTAAAAAATTCTTAAAAAAATGGATTTCAGAAGAACAATCAGTTTTTCTCCCCAATAGACAAATAAAAGATAATACAAGAATGCTTATAAATACCATCGAATACTATGAAAAACATAATGAAAAACAACTTGCGTTACTATTTATCGATGCCGAAAAAGCATTCGATAAAATTAATTGGGAATATTTAAAATTTTTACTAAAAGAAATAGATATTGGTCACGACTTTAGTAATGCAGTGGAGGCAATATACACGAAACAAGAGGCCACTCTGATCATAAACGGGCAAGAATCTGACGCCGATCCATATCAATCCATATCAATCCATATCAATTAGGGAACTCGTATTTTTACCTCGCCCCCCTCCCCCCCCCAGGGGGGATGACTCAGGGTGGTCTCACAACAAGCACCATACGGTGCCATCATAACCATAAAATATTTCAATAAATACATTAAAACAGTTAATTAAAACAATTGATTAAACATGCCAGTTAAAAACCAAATCCAAGTCTGGGTCCATTCATTGTCATAGGTTGCCTGCGTCTTCTTTCCACTTGCTGCTGGTCTCATAACCACGTCTTAAGTTTCCTTCTGAAAGACAGGAGGGAGGTAGCCAGTCTGATGTCCCTGGAGAGGGACACTGCTGAGAAGGCTCTGTCCCTCATCCCCACCAATCGGGTTTGCGATGGCAGGAATCGCGAGCAGGACCTCTCCAGATGATCTTAAACTTTGTGACGGTTCATAACAGGAGAAATGTTCAGACAGGTTAGGGTTGTTATAGCCCAATAACGTCAGAAGGTCTGCAGTTACCCACTCCTGTTTCAGAGTTTTATGATAAACCCATTACATTTCATCATTGGCTGTTCTAGCTGTCAGCAGCCAATCCCTTTCCCATGCCAGAGATAAAGCTTAATGGTGT